AGTTGCACTTTGTAAGATCCAGCAGCTGGAGGCCTATGTTTCAAATCTCTGCACTACTAGAGAGCAGGCTGGCCAGGTGGGGCTTGTCAGCCTTGGAAATTAACTTCGAGGCAAAATCTGGAGCCGGAGTCCCGGAGGCAGTTTGTGCCGTTCTGGCAATTCCTGCGACATCACTGGAACCAGTTGTATTGGCTCTTGCCTTTCCATTGGACTATTTCAACGATGTGGAGAGGGGGGATTTGCTGCTTGGGTAACAGCCTATCCTCCATATCATTGTATCCAGGCCTCGTGCTCTGGAGAGGACACTCCAGCTTCGCATACAGCGTTGAAATAACACAGGAAGTAGCAGTTACTGGTTATAAGCCTTTGTTCGATTTAATGGTTATAAGCCTTTGTTTGATTGGCGTAGAGCATGATGCCAGGGGCTACTTCCGATAGTGGGAGAGGTCATTGCACTTCACTTGGTAGCTACCACCCGCCTTAAGCTGGGCAGTCCCCAGCCAGTAAACTGCTACATTACCACGGTCTGTTAACCTCACGGAGTGCGTGGGGTTTAGGGTGAAAGCCGACAAGCAGATCGATAACTCTGCACCATGCAACAATCATAAGAAAACTTCTGCCCTAAGGTTGACCACCTGGAATGTTCAGACAATGACCCCTGGCTTTTCTGATGACCTGCAGGAAATAGTCAATGTGTGCAAGACAGCTGTAATCAACATGGAACTGAGTAGACTGCAGATGGACATTGTTGCACTGCAAGAGACAAGATTGCCAGACATGGGATCTGTCAAAGAAAAAAAATTCTCATTCTTCTGGCAGGGAAAACCATTGAATGAGACCAAGGAATATGGTGTTGGCTTTGCGGTCAGAAATACCCTGCTGAGATCCATTGTTCCACCTACTGTGGAGAGTGAAAGAATCCTGTCTCTGCAGCTCCACTCATCAGTGGGACCGGTCACCCTCATTAGTGTATATGCACCAACACTGTCGTCCACAACAGAAGTCAAAGACAAATTCTACGATGATCTGGCAGCTACTATCAAACAAATCTCCAGGAGACAGCCACTGTTCATTCTCAGAGACGCTAGAGTTGGTGCTGATCACCATTCTTGGCCTACTTGTCTAGGCCATTTTGGCTTTGGGAAGATGAAGGAAAATGGCCAACACTTGCTGGAGTTTTGCTGTTATTATGGTCTTTATGTCAGCAATATGCTCTTTAATACGAAGCTTCAACACAGTTTCGTGGAGACATCCAAGATCGAAGCATTGGCAATGACCCAATTTGATCCTCACTAGACACGCTAGACTTCCTAGTATTACAATCACACACAGTTATAAGGGTGCTGACTGCAATACTGATAACTCGCTGGTGTGTAGTAGAGTAAAACTGCGACCAAAGAGAGTGTATCACATGAAAAAGGAAGGAAGACCACTTATTGACATCAGCAAGATTCACGATCAAAGAAAATTGGAGAAATTTGCCCATATGCTTGAGGAAAACCTTCCAGGCCTGGTTGATGCAAATGCACCTGAATGATGGGAACACTTCAAGAACGCTCTTTATAACACCGCCTTGTCCACATTTGGCAAGAAGACAAAAAAGATGGCCGACTGGTTCGAAGTCCATTCAGAAGAGTTGATGCCAGCCATCGAGGACAAGAGGAGAGCTCTAGCAGCATACAAGGTCTGTCCTAGTGAGTACAACTTGCAGGCTCTTCGAGCTGCTCGTAACCAAGTCCAACAGGCTGCCAGGAGATGTTCCAGTGATTACTGGCTTCAGCTGTGCTCTCAGATACAGATAGCAGCAGACACAAGTAACATCAAGACAATGTATGATGGTATCAAGCAGGCTTTAGGTCCAATACAGAAAAAATCTGCTCCCTTGAAGTCTGCTGCAGGTGTGATCATCCAGGACCGAGCACAGCAGATAGAATGCTGGGTGCAGCACTACTCTGAGCTATATTTCAGAGAGAATGTAGTAACCGAAGAGGCATTAAACAACATTGAGTGCCTGCCTGTCTTGGAAGAGTTGGACAGTGAACCACCTTTAGCAGAAATAAAAGTGGCCTTGGATTCCCTCACCTCAGGCAAGGCACCTGGGAAGGATAACATCCCTGCTGATGTGGTGAAATGCTGTAAAGAGATCATCAAGCTGTATGAAATTTTTTGTCTTTGCTGGAGGGAAGGTGGAGTACCACAGGACATGAAGGATACAAACATCGTCACATTGTATAAAAACAAAGGAGACAGGGGTGATTACAGTAACTACTGTGGCGTCTCTCTTCTCAGTGTTGTAGGGAAGCTGCTTGCTCCTGTTGTGCTGAAGAGACTCCAGGTGCTTGCAGACAGAGTCTATCCAGAATCAGTGTGGATTTTGAGCTAACAGATCAAGCACTGACATGGTATTTTCCCTCAGACAGTTGCAGGAGAAAAGTAGGGAACAATGACAGCCACTCTTCGTGGCCTTCATAGATCTTGCAAAGGCTTTTGATTTGGTTATCAGGGATGACCTTTTAAAAATACTTCCCAAGACTGGATGTCCACCTCGACTCCTTAACATCATCAAGTCCTTTCA